ATGTAGAGGCAGGGCAGCCGGCTTGGGACCCAAAAGTCCCAGGTTCGATCCCCAGTCACTGCACATCACGTGGCGTCTCTGGGCAGCACACCTCATCCCCAAAATGCCCCCCGGGCGCTTTCAATAGCTGCCCACTGCACCACCTGGTGGTGGATGGGTTAAATGCAGAGACTAATTTCGCCATTGTATGGAAACATACAGTGCTGACATTGTGATGACATCATTATTATTATTATTTTATATATATATATATATATATACTGTATATATATATATATATATATACTGTATATATATATATATATATATACTGTATATAAATAGTACAGTACAATAGTACAGTACAACAGAATAAAGATAGTTGATGTTGATGAAATACTTACATTGTCCGCTAGACAGCAGCAGAGAGCAGAAAAGAGGAATAATAAGAGTTCATGTGAATGTGTCATGGCTGTTCTGAGTGAATCTTCAGTTTAGGGGCTCCTCAGTTTGCTGCAAGAGGAAAATAAATACATCAGGCACAATTGACTAAAGATTTTTATGAACAACCTTCATGTTTCCCCTAGATTCTCTACCGTAACGACACTCACACCTGCTGTAATATTTCAGTAAAACTCAGTGGATTTGCCAGCACGAGCCATTTCTGACTCAAAGTTTATGTGACTAAGTCTCACGTCAGCATTATTTTAAGTTTGTAAATCTAAATTATGAACACAATTGTAGGAAATTGATGGATATTGGTCAGCTTCTTCCAGCTTCCTTCCTCCATCAATGTGTCAGTCACAGAGCGACGCCACGGGAGAGGAAACACTGGAGAACATGTCCACTGTGTTTAGGTTGAGCTCACTTTTTGAGCCATACAGGAAGTTTTAACAACTGTGTGAGTCTTGGACAATCCCACCCTGAATTAATTTCCTTCATTTGTTTACATTCCTCCTACAGGATACCTACTTTGCATTTGCAAGAGATACCACAGTCCATAAACTTATTTCCCTGTGGAAATAAACAGGAAACTGTTATCTTTTTCAGTTTCAAACATCAGACAGTGATGACCATAAAACAGGCAGCACATTCTGGAGAATAAAAGCACTAAAAGTGTGCATCTAGAGAAAAGTTTAGAAACACTGGTCCTCTATTAGGACAAAAAATAAAGTCCTAAACTTGTGCTTCTATTGTGTGCTTTTTTTCTTTTTTTTAATAAATAAGCTTGATTTCAATCTTTTTCATGTGCAGAAAGGAGGAAGATGAAGAGAATCTGCTGCTTCTCAACAAAGTGTGAGCAAACATGATTCACAGCTGGATGGGATGAGATGAGGAAGGGGGGAAAACGATGAGAAACTCGAGCACAGTTTAAAACGGGGAAGTAAGACTGATTTCTTCTGAGTTGTTTCAAAAATAACAAATGGGAAGTTGACTGAGACAAACATCTGAAAACACCACAGCTGAAGTTTATGTCGTCTGCTTCTCCGGTGACTCACCTTCTGTGGTTGACTGAGCTCATTAAACTGGGTTTTAATATAAAGTGGGGTTAAACCACGGTGGAAGTTGCACACATACACAGAAACACAAAACGCTCAGGAACGTGGAACTAATAAGCACCCCTCCACAAAAATTTACTGCTCAGTGTTCAGGCTATTAAACACCCCTTACTCTGAATTTGACCTATAAAACACAAACTCACCATAAAAGTACCTTCAGATCTGCTTGTACTTCAGAACAAAAAAATAAATAAAACCCCACTGTCCAGTGCATTTAACCCCCCCCAACAGAGCCTCGCTGGCTGGGTGACAAAAACACACCAGTTTCCTCCTTTGTTTCCTTTGTTCAGCTGTGCAGGCCCATTCAGCCCCCCTCTCTCTGCAGCCCTGTCGGCTACAAACATATGTTTCCTGCTAAAACACTGCCCTGCTCATTTTTGAAAACGTGCGTACATATCAAGGCATGCACGTGAAAAAACATGCCTCACTCTGTGCACATCAGAAGTGAACATATGTTTCACACCCTCAGTCTGACATGAAGGGGCCCGTTTAGGGTGCATTAATGCAACTCCTCAGCAACCCCAGTTGTCGTCTGTTTACAAAGTTCAGCGTATAAAAAAGTCATTAAAGTCTCAATTCCTGGAAGTGATCAACTCAAAATCTTTGGTCTTGTGCTACAGTAACCAAATTATCAACGACGGGAGATTTTTGAAGGGAAAAATTAGCACTGTTAAATAAAACCATGAAAATATTTGAGGTGTTGCTAAAATGCCTATCTTCCCTGAAATCAAGGATGACGCCCTGCTTCAGTGTGCAAACGATGCTTCGGTTGTTACAAGATGTGCAAAAGTTCATTTTGCTCAAGAGAAACACTCCCATCTTCATGCAGCATGAAGACAGCGTGGCTCTCTTTGTTAGTAGGTCAAATATGAAAACATCTTGGGAGAAGCAGAGGCCAGACTCTGACTCATAATAGCAGGTTTGAAAATGGAGCACTTAAGCTTGGTAAACAAATACAACAGAGCGCATGACAGACACACTCACACAGCAGATGTGTCCAAAACTGGAAGTAAATGCCACAAGTTGTGTGACATTTCTGACGGATGTTGAGTGTTGGGCACCATCTTTGACATCTTGGTTTGTCAAACTGTTCACGCGATGCTGTTTGATGATCTTACATGATTGGACCAAAATACCAACATGTGAAGGATTTATTGGAGCAGGAATGCAGTTGCATTGGGCTTCAAGGTTCAGATTTAAAGATTGAGCTTTTATT